GTTGAATAGAAAAGAGGAACTTTTTCAAAAGATTTGTACCACTTCCCACCAAAGGCCACTGTAGGTCTGAGAAAATTGAAATTCATTTCTTGGGAGTGTGTCTGTCTTCAACTTTTTAAATATGTGGTTAACATGGTCAACCCATAGTTATAACTTACAGGAGAAACCATGGTTGCAGTAAGAATAAACTAATTACTTTATAGATAGAATGGTTGACTGTGGTTACAATAGAGAACCATGGCTAAGATGGGAGGACTGTGACTAAACAAAGCGGACTGTGGGTAATCCATGATTGTGATATGTAGGCAGTAAGTCAGATCAGATGACTGAGGTTGTGATGGGGTGGCTGTGGTTACAATTATTATTATAGGAGGTATTTGGCGAAGATAGGTGATCTGTTACTGCAGTTGGTAGGTTACAATCAAGATGGCAGAAATTACAAGAAAAGACTCCCTCCATCGACTGCAACCCTTACCTCACGCGTCTGGAAGCACACTGCTTCTAGAGTGGCCCTTGCTATGTGTGCCTTGTTGGTAAACTGGGTCAATCCTATGATTACTCTAAGAAAAAAAGACAGAAGAGTTGGGTAAGATACACAAGGCTGCATTAACCCTCTACACCCTAACATCAGCATGTATATTCTCCACACTGTTCTCTATACATTCCTTAAGGTGCTTACAAGGAGAATTTGTTTAACAATCAAGAGCTTCTTTAGTTAGTGATCATTTCCTTTATTCTCATGACCTGGCTGTGTGATTCAGGGGTGATATTGTAAGGAGAAATTAGATGCTAGTCACTCTTAGGGGTTTAAAGGAGTAAGAAATACTTCGTCAAAATGAATTTGGGTCTTTCTAGCCAGTCTTCTGTTTTCCTCCATCACATTTTATTTAAAAAAGATAGAGATAGGAGTCCATTTGTGCTAAATATATAATATAGAAATACAACATTGTATACCTAAAACATTTATTTTGTACAAAAGCTATTGAAGTCTACAATTGTAGAAAAAAATAGTGCTTATTTTTATTGACCCACCCTCTTGCGTCTGTCTGCCAATAAGGAGCATACAAACCAGAGAATGCTGGAACAAAGTACACACCAGCTGAGCTCTCTACTTTGGCTGCTAAGGTTTCTAAAATAAAATAAGATTCACTATGTCATGCATCAAGCTGTAAGTTCACGACCATTAGCAGTGACCACTTCCATTTTGTAGTTGGTTTGGACAACTTTTGTATAAATGTTTTAAATCAGTGTCAGTATCTTGGCAACTGTACACCTACCCCTTCCCTAACCCAACAACAGTCAACTGATAACAAGGTAGGGTTAATGTTGGTTTAGGGAAGGGGGTATAGATTTGTTTTGGAGAAAGGCGTTGAACAAAGAATATTAATGCATGTGACTTTCTGAATTTTTCATAGTCCTGGAAAATCAGGCATGGGTTCTAGCCCACCGCCAAGGTGGTGATAGTTCCAAAGGATGCTCAGGTACATAAGGAATAAGGACCAGGTGTGAGTGAGCCAGAACTAGGCCTGGAAATTCAGTGATGGGGACATCCTACGGATTGCCAAAACCACCTGAATTGGTGTGTTTGCTAAGAAGCAACACATGAAATTCATGGCACACATAACCAGGATGCCAAATGATGCACCCCAGATTATGATGTGCTTTGCCCAAGGATATGGCCAATTAAGCCACTGGTCAAGACTAGCAAAAACTGGCTAGTTTTTTCATGCACATGAAACCCCTGTGATGATGATGAACACCAAGGTGGTGATATTTCCAAAGGATGTTCAGGTACATAAGAAACAAGGACCTGGTGTAAGTGAGGGCACTGCAGCACACAGCTTGTGCAACAGTAGGAATAAGCTATGTCAGATTTGTAGTTTACCAATCTCTGATGCTGAGCTGATAAGATTGAGGTTATCTCTCAGCCACTTCACAGCAGCACCAGTGATGGCAACTGAGCCCTGAAATAGAAAGAAAATTGCATTCCTGTGATATGGGGAAAAGAGGTGGGTACTCTTAACGAGCCAAGTTGGCTTTAATTAACTGTAATCTTCCAACAAAACACTACTTAAATTGATTGCTATTGTTCCATGACTAGATACTAGTCTAACTCAGGTAACCCCCAGACTATTTCTATCACATGTCTCAATTTTGGCTCTCCATCACTATTTTTGCAATCACCTCTAAAGCGTACACTGTGGGTTGGTCAGGACCCAGCTTGTATGCAACAGTTGTCAGCAAACCATTTTGAGAGAGGACCACCTTTCAAGATAAAAAAATTACAATAAATCAGCAAACAATGTCAGAAATAGTAATCATAAATAAGCTGATAACATAGAGAATAGTCATTACCACATTCATGTTTTGTCCATAGATAGTGCTTCAGTTTCACTCTATATATCATACATTCTGTAATTTTTGTTAAAAATCCCCATATTCATGGTTATGTGGAGGTGGCTGGCACTGATTATTAGAGCTGGATCATTTTATAAAATAATTCGAAAAGGTTTTGATCAGTTTATTCATCATGGTGTATGAGCTATGATACCCCTTCCTCAATTTCACTCCCTTTAAAAATAAAAATAGAACATAAAGATGGGTTTACAGGGCGTGAAATTAATTTTTTTTTTTGATAGCCACTTGGCTCCCAAATTTTTCAAAGTGGTAACCAATTCAAAACAAGTTCATCACCATTTTTAAAGACAAACAAAACTTTTTTTACACTGTCAATGTTCTAGATAGACTCTCCAAAATTAAGTTAGGAAAAAGATCTTTCACGTGCTACAAAGTGGACACCAGGATGGATGATATACAACATTCAAGCTCACCTAAACCAAAGATTGCATCTAGTTATCGATCGAGATGTATGTGCTGCGTTTGGGACATAAACCTAACAAGGAAGTTTGTTGCGGATTTATCTTTGCAAATCTTTTTAATTCACTATATCTCTAGGTAAGGTTATGATGAAGCATTCTAGTTGCCAATTTGGAAACTGATTTTCAGGATTTGGTTGCCAAAGTGAAAAATTTAGTCGCATTGGCATCTGTATTAGGTGCAATTTCACGCCCTGGTTTAAATTAATTATTTTCTCTGAAATTGTGACAAAGCAGATTTTGTTACCTCTTGTCCTGTGTTGTAGAGAAGAAAACATCCAGTGCCATAGCTGTGTAGAAAAAAAAGACAGACAGTAATGTATTGACTGA